TTTGTGAGATCTGTATTAGTTTGCTAGGGCTATGTAACGAAGTACAGCTGACCCTTGAACAACATGGGTTTGAACTGTGCAGGTCTGCTTATACACAGATTTAAAAAAAAATATTTGTTTATTTTCAGAGAGAGGGGAAGGGAGGGATAATAAGAGGAAGAGAAGCATCAGTATGTGAGAGATACATCAATCGGTTGCCTCTCGCGCGCCCCCAACTGGGGGCCTGGCCCACAACCCAGGCATGTGCTTTGGGAATCAAACCAGCGACCTTTAGGTTTGCAGGCCAGCACTCAGTCCACTGAGCCACACTAGCCAGGGCCAGATTTTTTCAATAATACTGTAAGTGTATTTTTTTTCCTTAAGATTTTTTATTCTCTTTTTTCCAAGATTTTATTTATTTCTAGAGAGAGGGGAAGGGAGGGAGGTAGAGGAGAGAAACATCAATGTGTGGTTGCCTCTTGTGCACCCTTAACTAGGGGCCTGGCCAACAACCCAGGCATGTGTTAGAACCAGTGACTGGGAATGGAACTAGCGACACTTTGGTTTGCAGGCTGGCACTCGATCCACTGAGCCACACCAGCCAGGGTGCTTCCTTAAGATTTTCTTAACATTTTCTTTTCTGTAGCTCACTTTATTGTACAAATCTAGTATATAATATATATAACATATAAAATATTTGCTCATCAACTGTCTATGTTATCAGTAAGCCTTCTGGTCAACAGTAGGCTGGTAGAAGTTTTGGAGTGTCAAAAGTTATACATGGAGTTTAGACTGTGCAGAGGGTCAGTTCCCCTAACCTGTGTTGCTCAGGGATCAACTGTCCCCTGAACTGGGTCACTTAGACAACAGAAATCTGTCCCATGCTTCTGGAGGCTAGAAGTTGAAGCTCAGTGCATCAGCAGGGTTGGTCCCTTCTGGAGTCTGTGAGGGAGAATGTCTCAGGCCTCTCTCCTGGCCGCTAGTGGTTTGCTGACAATCTTTGTTTTTTCTTGGCTTGTAGGTGTATGACCCCAGTCTTTTTTTTTTTTTTATCCTTACCTGAGAACATTTTTTTTCCATTGCTTTCAGAGAGAGAGGAAGGGAGACAGAAGAAGAAAGAGAGAGACACACACACACATTGATGTGTGAGAGAAACATTGATTGGCTGCACCTTTGCCTGGAATTGAACCCACAACCCTTTGGTTACAGGACAACACTCCAACTAACTGAGACACACTGGCCAGGGCTTTTTCTTTTTATTTAACTTTTTTTAGAATTTATTGGGGTGATGTTGGTTAATACAATTATATAAGTTTCAGGTGTACAATTCTGTAAAACATCATCTTTATATTGTAGTGTGTGTTCATCACCCCAAACACAGACTTTACATTCATCTTTACATGGGCTTCTCCTTGTGAGTGAGTCTGTCTAAATTTCCCCTTTTTATAAAGATACCAGTCATGATGGATTAGGATTGACCCCAATGACCTCATCTTAACTAATTACATCTGTGATAACCCTATTTCCAAATGAGATCACATTCTCAGTCACTGGGGGTTAAAACTTCAACATGTGAATTTTAGGGTGACACAATTCAACTCATAACAGGTTCCAAGCATTAGAAGCTCTGCTCCGCCCCTGCCACTTTACTTTACTTTTAGATGTAAAGTTTTCTTAGTCCTCTACCAGAGGTTGAGACTGGCTTGGGCCAGACAGAGAGGCTTGTGAAGAGCCTTTTGGACACCTGATGTCTTTGGGGTCCCATTTTTAGGATATGACTTCCCCAAATGTTTTCGAGTTCCTCTTCGAAGGGGAGGACCAGTCCAGGCCAAGAGGGAAGCCCAGGAAGGTCACCCTAGGACCAGAAGTGGTATTGACTGGTGCTTGGCTGTAGAAAGTACTCCCCCCAAATGTTCCTAGCCCCTCTGTGGTGTTTTTGGGGAGTGTCTTCAACTACCAGGCTCTACATGAGACTGTGGTTGATCTCACAGGGTCCTCCCTGAAACTCCCTGGTTGCTGGAAGTGCCTGGACATTTTTCCAAGTCTTTTCCATCTATGTGTCTATCCTTATGCCAGTGCCACACTGTTTTGATTACTGGAGCTTTGAGTAGGTTTTTAAACCAGAAAGTGTAAGAGCTCCAACTTTGTTTTTCTCTTTATAGATTGTTTTGCCTATTTGGGGTACCTGGAGATCCCATATGAATTTAAGAATGGATTTTTTTCTCTATTTCAGCAAAAAACATTTTTGGGATTGCATTGAATCTGTAGATCAATTTGAGTAGTGTTGACAACATTAAGCCTCCCAATACATGAACACAGGATGTCTTTCCATTTACTGAACCATCCCCAATTTCCTTCAGCAACATTTGTAGTTTTCAGTCTACAAGTCTTTTGCCTCCTTGGTTAAGTTTCTTCCTAAGTATGTTACTCATTGATGCTATTGTAAATCGAGGTGTTTTTTTTTTAAATTCTCCGTTGAATTAATTGTTCATTGTTAGTGTATAGAAAATACAACTGATTCTTGTGTTGATTTTGAATTCTGCAAATTTGCTGAATTCATTCATTCTAAGAGTTTTTTGTGCAATCTTTAGAATTTTCTACATATAATATCATCTGTGAACAGAGAAAATTTTACATTTTCTTTTCCAATTTGATTGCCTTTGGCTTTTTTTCTTGCCTAATTGCTCTGGCTGGCACTTCCAGCATTAGAGTGAATACAGTTGGTGAAAGAGGCATCCTTGTTTTGTTCCTGACCTCAGAGAAAAATCTTTGTCTTTCATAACTGAGTATAATGTTTGTTGTGGTTTTTCCACATATAGCCTTTATTATGTTGAAGTAGTTTCCTTCTGTTCCTGGTTTATTATTACTTTAATCATGAAAGAGTGTTGCATTGTCTGCATCAATTAAGATGATCATGGATGGCCCTGGCTGGCGTGGCTCAGTAGATTGAGTTGCCGGCCTGTGAATCAAAGGGTCACTGGTTCAATTCCCAGTCTAGGGAACATGCCTGGGTTGTGGGCCAGGTCCCTAGTTAAGGGTGCAAAAGAGGCAACCACACATTAATGTTTCTCTCCCTCTCTTTCTCCCTCCCTTCCCCTCTCTAAAAATAAATTAATTAAAGAAAAAAGATGATCATGTGCTAATGGGGTGTATTACACTGTTAGAAGGAAAAGTTTTCAGTTCTCCACTGTGCTTTATTTATTTAAGCCTCATGCAGATTTCACCCTCTGCCTTGTAGAATGCTGAAAATGGAGGTTAATAAGGAAGAAGATGAAAGTTGTTTTTTTTTTTACAAGAAATCAGTGGTCTTGAAATCATAATATGTTTCATCTGTATAGCATTCTTATTATTTCTCTACATGTTCAGGATCCTGATATTAGAGAGAAATAAGGTGTAATGTGATCATAGTAACAAGCTGTAAGTCATTTCCATGTGTTTATTTTGCTGTTAAATTTATGAGAAAGTTAGTGTGGACCGTAAGTTTGTGATCAGTCATAGATACATGTTAGGAGACAATAGAATCACTTGTAACTGGGGTCTGGGCGTCCAATGGTGTCAGTCTCACACATGCTACTATACACATATTTGGGATGTTTCAGGACTCGGTGGCCTTTGAGGATGTGGCTGTGAACTTTGGTCTGGAGAGAAACCCTATGAATGTAAGAAATATGGAAAAGCCTTCATTTGTCACACAGTCTTTCAAAGACACATGACAGTGCACACTGGAGAGAAACCATACAAAAGTTCAGAATGTGGGAAAGGCCTTAGTTAACCTAGTTCTTTTCGAAAGCATGAAAAAGCATTGCCTTTCATTGCCACCCACAGACCATTTCCAGCTTGTCATTTCTTGGCTCAAGCCTACTTGTTTTTGTTCATTTAGAAACGCCCTTAGAAATCCACACATCTCCCACTCGGGAATATTTTTCTGACCGGGGCTGTGAGTTGAGAACGTGGTTGAAGCATTGGCAGAACACGTATGTCACGGGCACATTCCCCTTGGCTCCCAGCTGTTGCATATTTGTCAGATGTACTGGTTTACTTAACACAACACTTAAATACTGGCTGACTGTGAATGCAGAAACAAATGGCTCCAGAGTTTGTTTCAGTGACAAAAATGTTCAAAATTTGTGGTGCTGATGCAATGTATCTGTGAATATATAAAAGACAGTGAATTGTACCCACTAATGAAGTGTATTACATCGCAATAAAGCTATTTAAATAAATGTACGTGGAGTTTTGAATCAATGTGTTTAGTAGTTAAGAATTTTCAGGTATGTCCTATATTTCCAAAAGTTTTATTCTTTTTTCTCATATTGGTAATAATTGGAATTCAGTTGCTTTAGGGATATCATAGCGTTTACATTTCAAAATCTCTACGCACACACTCAAGAACTATCTAAAATAAGTTTCCTTGTATGATAAAATATACACCTGAGAGTTACACTGAACACACCTTACAATATATGGTTGGTGCCCAGGCAAGTGTTTCCGGGTTCAAACTTCCCAGCAGAGTCACGACCCTGGGAAAGCGAGGGGACTCTAGCTAAAGTACCACGTGTGTGGAGGTGAAGGGTCATGAAGCTGTCAACGAAAATCAAAACGTAGCCAGACTCCATTTTGATGGAGGTCATTTTTCAATGGGTTTGTAAACAAGGAACACAGTTTTATGGGTGGCAGTCTATGCCAACCCCTGACCGAGGGAATACCTACGATTCTCAGGTCCCCAGGCTGCCCTGAGGGACGCCTGGGGCGTCCCTCCTGCTCAGGACAACGGCGTCACTCCACCTAGAAACTGAGTCTGGATCACCTTGCGTACACCAGTGTTTCAGGTTCAGAAAGAACTGCCGGAAATACCACCGGCTCACGGACAGGCCTCGCCCACTTGCTAAAGCAGTTTCTGCAGGCCCTCTGACCTCCCCCGGTTGTCACTCAGGAAACTGGTGGGCGGGTCCTTGTGAACTGTCCAATCAGGGACGTAGCGGCTGGGCAAAGCTCGCCAAACCTCCTGGACCCTCCAGGGGGCGCTCCTTAAGTTCTCTACGGATATTCGTCCAGGTTCCTCCCGTTGTGAAAGTCCAGGGCTGGGGTGGCCGTAGGGACGACGCCTGGGGTACCCCAGAAGCCGGGAAATGGTGAGTGTGCGGGGCTGGGTGTCCTGGGACAGGGACGCCGGATTAACTGGGTCCGGCTGTAGCGTGGCCTGGCCTCCCCGCGGTCAGTCCGGAGTCTGAGGATCGGAGTCCCGCGGGGGCGCCGCGCCAACCTCAGTCCCCTCCGGCAAGAAGCGTCCTGTCCAGTCACTGCGTTGGCCACTCTGGCCCCGAAGACTCCCTCGGCAGTTCTGTGTCCCCAGCCCCTATCTCCCAAATGTGCGGGGACCACGGAGAGGGTCACTAGTGGACAGTCCTGACTCGGTCTGCCGGGTTTGTGCGTGGGAGGAGCTGTGGTCTCTGTGTTCCCCAGCCCTCCATTCTCCACGGGGGATCGTTTTCTTCAGAGTTTTCAAATTGTTTTGGGTAGCAAGGTCTCAAATCCACTACCCTGGCCCCCCACCTCTTCTTCAAAGGAGCAATAAATTTCTGAATTTCTAGATCCCTCCCGCGTTTTTTTTTTTTTTAAGATTTTATTTTTAGAGAGAGGGAAAAGGCGGGAGAAAGAAAAAAAGAGAGAAACATTGATGTGAGAGAGAAACATCGTTTGGCCACCTCCTCAATGCACTCCAAGCTGGGAGGAACCCGCAACCCAGGCGCGAGCCCTGACCAGGAATGGAACCCGAAATCTTTTGCTGGGCAGGACGACGGCCAACCAACTGAGCCTGCATACCAGTCAGGGCCCTCCCGCGTTCTTAAACGCCAGATTGCCTTCTCTGATTCACAGCATCATTATCAATTAGCCACAGATGGCTCTTTTAAAATATTTATTTATTTATTTTTGTCTGTGCATATTTTACATGATAGGAAAGCCGAGAATAACCACTTTGACAAAAACTTGAAATCCGTTGCTTGAAATCCAGCACCTCCGCCCAGGACCCTCCCTGGACACAGACATCCTATGCGAAGTCCTTTGGGTGGAGGTTCTTCTTGAGAAAGTTTCCTGGGTATTTTGTCCTGTGAGAATGGCCCTTCTTGGGTTTGTCACCTGGAAAGACTTGTGGACTTACTCCTTTTTCAATAGAGGTAAAATATGTTTAATGTTCTAGTAGTGCATACATTTGTGTACGATAGAATAACTCTTTCCACTCTTTCTTCCACTGAGCATGTGTATTAAGTTTCCAAGGTTTGTTTTTCACTTTGGGTGATTTCAAATAAAATTCCAGATATAGATATGCAGAGCATATGTGTTCAACTATGATTAATTATTTACAAACCAATTACTTTTCCTCTAAATAGAAACAACTGACATCTTAAAAAAAAATGTTAGGGGCTTTCTAATTGAACTAGTGAAAGGCTCTTCTTCCTTTTCATATGAATGCTGGGTTTATGTGGTTTTGGTAGATTGTTCAAACACTGGATTTTTGACATTTAAAATATCTGTGGTGGCCCAAGCAAGTCCACTAGGGAATAAGAACCCTGTGGTCAGTGACTCAGGCTAAGGCCCCCCTGAGCCTGCAGGGGCAAGTGCTTGAAGGCCCAGTGGATCTTCTTGGGGAGCTTCCCCCTGCAGGTGTCCTGCCTGCTCAGCCGCCCCCGCCCCCCGCCCCCCCCCCCCCCCCGGTGGAAGGAGCCTGTACAGCAAGAAGCCACCACAGCGCTGGGGAGCTGGGGGCGCATGTGCACATGGGGGAGGGGGGGGATGATGTTCTTTCTGAGCTCTTAGTTGCAGTTCCCTTTGCCTTGTTTGTAGCCATAGGATGGAGTTTTACATCCACAATATAGGTGCACTTGGAGTGTAATTGGTGCACATCTAGAGTCTATATTTCGAATCACTCCCTCCCTTTTAACATTGTTGTCATTCATTTCAATTATCTGTAAGTTATAATTACTGAATACATTGTTACTCTTATGACTTGGAACATAGTGCTATCTGTCAGATTAAATAAAATAACAAATACAATTAATTTCACATTCATTTATTCTTTCTCTAACACTCTATCATTATCTTTTTCCTGACATATTTAACATTTCTTACAAAGCAGGTATACTGGTGACAAATTCCCTAATTTTTGTTTGTGTCATAAATTCTCATTTCTTCTTCACGTTTGAAAGATAATTTTCTCTATACAGAATTCTGTTTGGATGGTATTTTAACTCTTTAACTACTTCACAGGAAATAGTTAAACTTCACAGGAAGATTGTCTCCCTGTTTGCATAGTTTCTGAAAAAATCTGATTTCATTTTATCCTTGCTTCTCTATAACTAAGGTCCTCCTCTACCCCCATCCCACCCCCGCTTTTTTCAAGATATTCTTTGTCTTTGATTTTTCTCAAGTTTGAATATGATATTTATAGGTGTGCATTTTTTTGTTTTTATCTCGTTTGGTGAATTTTGAGCTTCCTGGGTTTGTTGGTTTGGTGTCTGTTGTTAATTTTGGGAAACTCTGAGCCATCATTGCTTCACTTATTTACTGTTTTAAAATCTTTATTCTCCTTCATGGGTTCCCATTATGTGTTTGTTGCACCTTTGTAATTGCCACAAAGTTCGTGGGTTTCTGCCTCATCTTTTTTTTTTAAAATTTTTTTTATTGATTATGCTGTTACAGTTGTTCTATTCCCCCTTTCATTCCCCTCCACCCTCCCCCCCCATCCCCACCATTACCCCCCCTTTAGTTTATGACCATGTGTTTCAAGTCCTTTAGATTCTATATTTCCCATGCTATTCTTGCCCCCCCATCTATTTTCTATCTACTGTCTATGCTACTTATTTTCTGTACCTTCTCCCCCCTTCTCCTCCTCCCACTCCCCTGTTGCTAACCCTCCCTGAGATCTTTATTTCTATGTTTCCACTCCTGATCTAGCTGTCCTTTTAGTTTGCTTTCGTTTTAGGTGTGGTTGTTAATAACTGTGAGTTTGTTGTCCTTTCACTGTACATGTTTCTTTAACTTCTTTTTCTTAGATAAGTCCCTTTAACATTTCATATAATAAGGGCTTGGTGATGATGAACTCCTTGAATTTGATCTTATCTGAGAAGCACCTTATGTGTCCTTCCATTCTAAATAAAAGTTTTGCTGGATAGAGCAATCTTGGTTGTAGGTCTTTGGATTTCATGTCTTGGAATACCTCTTTCCAGCCCCTTCTTGCCTGTAAGGTCTCTTTTGAGAAATCAGCTGACAGTCTGATGGGGACTCCTTTGTAGGTGACTGTCCCCTTAGCTCTTGCTGCTTCTAGGATTCTCTCCTTCATTTTAATCTTGGCTAACGTAATTATGATGTGCCTTGGTGTGTTCCTTCTTGGGTCCAACTTCTTTGGGACTCTCTGAGCTTCCTGGATTTCCTGGAAGTCTATTTCCTTTGCCAGATTGGGGAAATTCTCCTTTATTATTTGTTCAAATAAGTTTTCCACTGGTGGCTGTGCCTTTCCCCCTTCTGGTACCCCTATAATTCGGATGTTGGAGCGTTTAAAGATGTCCTGGAGGTTCCTAAGACTCTCCTCATTTCTTTGAATTCTTGCTTCTTCACTCTTTTTTGTTTGGCCATTATTTGCTTTCTTCTGGTCCACTCCATTGATTTGAGTCCCAGTTTCCTTTTCATTGCTATTGGTGTCCTGTGCAATTCCATTCATTTCAATTAGTTTTGCCTTCATATATTTGTCTAATTTGTGGCTATAATCAACCAGTTCTGTGAGGATCCTGATGACCAGTGTTTTAAACTGTGCGTCTGAGAGTTTTGCTATTTCTTCATCGCTTAGATCTATGGGCTCTGGGGCTTTGAGATCTTCTTGCGACATTTTTGGTCTGTTCGCACCCTTTAAGTGTGAGAAGCGTCGCCTTGGACTCCCAGGTTGCTGGGTTGTGACGCTATATGTGGGGGCGTGGTCAGAGCGACCCCCTCTGCTGTTTCTCACAGCTGGGTGAGGAGTAGCGCCTTAGGTGGTTCACCTGGGCCGGGCCACTCAGAGTCGCTGGGTTGTGACGCTGTATGTGGAGGTGGGGTCAGAGCAGGGAAATGGCGGCGCCCTCCACTGCCGCTTGCCAGACCCGCCGGCCTCGGTCCAACTGCCCACTCCCTTGCCTGTCCACCCGCGCGCAAATGCGCGACCACAGTCAACCTGCAGCCCTGCTCCCTCGCTGTCTCCCCTGCGGTCGCTCGCCTAGTCGCTCGGTCGCTCACTAGGTCCAACCCTGAGCCTGGATTCTGCGCCTGGATTCCGCGCACCTGGATTCCGAGCGCCTGAGTCCGTCCGACCGAGTTTTCCTGTGCAACCCCGCTTCACCAGCTGCTGGTTTCGCCCCTTACCGGTCAGGCTGAAGAATTTGTTGTTATTGGACTTCCGAAAAGTTCAATTTTCCGTGTTCTGGCTGTGTTTTCTGTTGCTAATATTTAGTTGTCTCTAAACTTGGTTGTGTGAGAAGGCATGGCACGTCCACCTATGCCTCGATCTTGGCGGAAGTCCTCCTGCCTCATCTTTTTTGTTCTGTTCATTTCTGTGCATTCGCTTTGGAAGGTTGTGTTCACATTTCCCCGAGCTCACTGATTCCTTCCTCATGTTTCCTCTGTATCCATGAGCTGTTGTTGCCCCACATCGAGGAATTCTTCATTTGTATTGTTGTTTTAACATCTTTCTTCCTTCCTTTTCCCTTTCCTTCCCTCCTTCCCTCCCTTCTGATTTTATTTATTATTTTTAGAGAGAAGGGAAGGGAGGGATCCCTTAAAAAGGAGAAAACATTCATGTTCGAGGGAAGTATCAGTTGCCTTCCACATGTGCCCAACCGGTGACCTGGGCCACAACCCAGATGTGCGCTCTGACCGGGAATCAACCAGCGACCTTTCAGTTTGCCGCAGGACACCCAATCCACTGAGCCACACCTGTCAGGGCTTAACGTTTTTTGTTTTTGCTTACGTTTCCTGTTTTGTGATTTCTTAGGGTTTCCATCTCTGCTTACATGACCTGTCCTCACGTTGTCCACTACTTCCATTAGAGTGCTTGCACGTTAATTGTGGTTGCTTTATGTTTCTGGTCTGATAATTCCAATATATCTGCTGCATCTGAATTAACATTCTTTTGCTTGTTCTGCCTCTTCACACTGTGTTTTAATTTTTAGCATGCCTTTTACTTTTTTGTTGAATGCTGAACATGATGTGCTGTGAAAAAGGGACTAAGGTAGATAGGCCTTTAGTGCAAGGTTTTATGTTTATCTGACTAGGGAGTTAAGCTTTGTTTACTATTGGTTGTATCAGAGGCTAAAATATCCTCAGGTGTCCTTGGTTTTTTGTCTCTATGTCATCTTTAGGGTTCTACAGAGGCTTCTACATAAGTTCTGACACTGCAGCCCTTCCAGGGTGTGCTCCATGCTCCACTGGAGTGCCGTTGCTGGAGGGTGGTGCTGTGGGTGGAGGGGCAGCCTTCTGCAGTCCTATGATTTGGGTCCATATTGTAATGAGCCTGTGCCCTGGGCTGGGACCTTCTGTGGTACAATGAGAAAGATGCTGTATCTTTGTGCATGGTTCCTAGCAAAGACCTCCTTAAAGCCCTTGGACTACCAGAATGACAAGGGTGATAGGAGCATCTTAGGTTCTAATGGGATGACTGTTCGCGGGCCCCTCACTGGCTTCAAGATGGGTTATTCACTGCTGGTCAGTGATTTTATTAGTCATGCCTGGGTAAGGAAACCCCATCTGAACTCCTAACTGTAGGATTCAGAGATCCAACTGGTGGACACATCAGTGTGGTGGGTGGGTGTCATGCCTGGACAGCCTATGAAGCTCCTACTCTGCACCCGCCTTTGCCCTGAGCGCCCTTTCCATTTGGCTGGTCTGACCTGTTTTACAGTAATCTGATAATAATAAGCAAAGCACTTTTGTTGGTTCCAATAGTTTTAGCAAATTAACAAACACGAGGGCATGTCCTGGGAACCTCCATATTTGTAGCTATGGAGAAATGTGTATGGTCTGAGCCACCACTGGCAGGGGGCCTCTGACATGTGGGCAGTGTGTGGGGCTGAGTCCTTAACCTGTGGAGTCTGTTGTTGACTCTGGTTGGTGGTAGAATTAGATTGTGGGCCACCCAGTTGGCATTGGGGAGGTGGAGAAATGGTTTGGAAATCACAGCATGTATTTCCTGTCAGGAAGAAAATACATCCTGTGATCCCGGCAGATGTTTCTGAGTCTGAGCCCCCCAGCCTCAAGGTAGGTCAGGCAGAGTGGCTGGGGGTGTAAATTGGCAGTTTCCCTCCCCAGGTCAGTCAGGCTCTGGTGAAATAGAACCTTTGAGGACAGGCCTTGTTAAGAAGAGCAGAATATTGTGGAGACTGCCTCCTCCACACTGAGACACCAATCACAAGTAGTAGGTCTGCAGGTTACTCACGACTTCTGACTGGGCTACAAATCAGAGGTTCCTTAACCCCCTCCTTGGGTTTAGTTTCCTAGCATGCTCAAAGAGCTCAGGGAAACAGTTGTTTACCAGTTTATCAAAGGATATACATGAATAGATAGATGAAGAGATACTTAGGATGAGGCCTAGGAGGGAGGTGTGAGGGGAATGCTGAAGCAACATGTGGCTGTAACCTGTCCTTAAGTTAAAGTAGAACGTGTTCCCCTTTGGGCACTATTGTCTTGTCACAGCTCCTTCTCAAGGTGGGTACCAAGGCATGCGGGGGGAGTTCCAGACTCAGTTTCCAGGTAGAGCAGTACCCCTGTCTAGTGCAGGAGTGGCACCCAGGCCAGGCCAATCCAGAAAAGGAAGGCTTACTGTCCTTCTGGGTCAGGGTCTGAGGATAAAGCTGCAAGGCCACTCCTGGAACTGTGACCTTGTTGACACACATACCACCTCACTATATGTGGTAAAGAGTCTGGCTCCGTTTCAGTTAGACTTTGTGAAGGAATGGTATTCTTCCTTTGAATATGTTGGAGAATTTTGTAGTGAAAACATTTTTGCCTGGACTTTTTTTTCCATATGGGTATTTTTTTTCATTACTAATTCAGCTACTTTTACTTGTTATAGTTATATTCAGATTTTTCACTTTCTTAAGTTAGTTTTGATAGATTTTTTTCTAGGAATTTGTCCACTTCATGTAAGTATTCTACTTTGTTGGTGTATGAATCTTCACATATTCCTTTATAATGATGATTATTTTTAAATATTTTATTTATTTTTAGAGAGGGGGAAGATAAAGAAGAGAGGGGGAGAAACATTATTGTGTGTTTGCTTCTCAAACACCCCTTACTGGGGACTTGGCCTGCAACCTAGGCATGTGCCCTGACTGGGAATTGAACTCGTGACCCTTTGCTTCACAGTCCAGTGCTCAATCCACTGAGCCATACCAGTCAGGGCATATGTATTTTAACTGAGGTACTTTACATGAAAAAGTGTCCCATATAGCATAGGGAATATTTCCATGTTTCAGTAAGAACTATTATGATTACCACGGACAGAATTTAGTTCACCTCCTCAAGGTATCTCATACAGAGGAGCATTTTCCTTGACTACTAATCCCATCACTTGACATAAGCCCAAGACCTTTTGTGCACCCTCTTAGTGATGCAGCTGATGACCATTTACAGTTTGTGGTCATCCTTACCACAATTCATTATACCCCTTTCTTTGAGGCTGGGTGTGATCCTACAGTTTCTGGCAAGAAGGCACCGACAAAACCATGATATAAGTTTTTTTATTAAGAATTAATAAGAGGTTAAACACAAACATTTTTAACTATAGGAAAATTTAAAAAAAACTTGCCTGAAGAAAAATATACATGATAACACTGATTCACCATATACAATGATTAACTGGACAAATCACAAAATTGGTCTAAAAATCCATAACTGCAATGGGATGTTTTAATATATCCTATCAGGAAGTGGAAGAGATATTTGTTAGTGCACAAAACACATACAGAAGCATTTGTTCGACAAAAAAAATGAACAGTTTTAAATCACATACAAACATAATAAAATGTACTGAGGACTTACGTTCAGCTGTAATCAGAAATACCCACGATCTGCCTGACACGAGGAAGGTGCCACTGCTCACGTGGAGGGACTGTCAGAGCAGTCACTGCACGTGCAGCAGCAGGACCGACTCCCATGTGGTTCTGACGGCACCACTGTAGCTGTTTTGGTGGAATCAGGGACATGGTCACTAACAATGTTAACAGAATGAAATGTCTGCTATACAAATTAGACCTTATTCAAATACTGTCTAGACAAGAAGGCAGTCAGCGTTTCAGAGAACATTTTCAAACATGAGTCTACATTGGTTGCATGAAGGCTTGTAGGAAAATCCAAAACTGATGGATCTTTGCTGTGGATCTTGTGGAGGCATCTGTGGAAACCTACAGCTCTGAGAAAGTGAGAGTCATGTAGTGGTGGTAGCACTGAGGTTGCTTTTGGCTGGCAGGACAAAGAATCAGGAAAATGGGTTGGAAGCGGGTATATATGAAATATCAATGCATCTGTCTTTCTGTGCTTTGTGGCTCAAACACTAAGGCCTTCCAAATCTCATGCGAATGAGATTGTTAATGAATTTTAACATGGACCCATAAAAAAACCAGAAAATGTTCTAGAAAATGTAGGTCACAACATTACCCATGTTGATGTAACATATTTTGGGAAACCCATCTCTAATTCTACATTTTATTGTCCTGTCACAGGTCTCCTTTTTTCTGTTTCTTTTTGTTTCTTTTTTTTAAAACAAATTAAAGGCTTATTGGTATACCAAAGTTAATGTTATTACAAAAATGAATCAAAGTTTAAGTGTTAAAAACACTTAGGAAAGAAGCTAGAAACGTGATTTTATTTAGTTTCATAGATGTGAAGCACTGTGAGAGCAGTGACCACCTTAGTTATGCTCACTGTTGTAAGCCCAGTGTCCAGCTCAGGTACCCAGTAGGTGCTCAGTATGGACAGAGGGATGGTGAGACCACTGGGTGACATCAGTGAGATCATATAATCATTCTGATTGTATTATGGGTAAAAGATACCTTAAATGGTAACATAGAATACTGTAGGAAGATTTTAATGGGTTGAGGGGAGGTGGGAATGTTGCTTTGGTACAAAGATATTATAGCTGTGAATTTAAATCTAAAACAATTATAATTGTAAACATTTTAAAGTTGTTTTGTAAGTTTGAGGTTGATGTCAATACAGGTTGCTCTCCTTAATGTAAAGTCATCATCCAAATCACTGTCAGAGGGAATGACAACGAGTGAGGGGGAATAGATATAAATAGTGATTCCAGTGAGATTATACTCTATGATAAACTTTTCCTATTTACAAATTTATGCCAACTATCTATTTGTAAGGTGAATTAGTAAGGCTCTTCTGATGAAAGAAAAAGAAAGTTTTTTTTTTTATCATAACAAAGGAAGAATATTTATAATGGATAAGGAATATCTGGCATTTGCCATATGAAGCCAATAGGAAAATCCTAAGAAATAACAAAGTATCATTATTCCCCTTAACTTATAGAACAATTAAAAATGTATATAAAATTAACCCTACTAGTATATATTACATTTATATTTCAATTCACCAATAGACTTCAGAGATTTTATAAGCTGATTTAAGGAAAAGCATTACATACTAAAAGCGATGTGCCACTGCTTAAAAAGTACTTACAGAATTGTCTCAAGTCACTGTTCATTTGCACAAGTAGCAAATAGAATCCATAGCCAGAGACTGAGTTTCAGTATGAGCCACTGACAAAGAAAAGCTATTTTTATCTTTTAAAACATATTTCATGTCACAAATTTTCTGGAGTATTAAATGTGAATTAATTTGCATCAGGCCTTCCTGTATTACTTACATTTATAGCCATCTCTCCAGTGGAATTTTCACATTTCTTTCCATGTGAAGAATGAAAACCTTCTTGTGTTTATCAGTTGTAATTTATCCAGTGTGCATTCTCATGACATGTTTGTGTAAGGATGTGGGCCAGTTGAAGGCCTTCCCACAATGCTTACACTGAAGAAGTTTCTCTCCAGTGTGAATTCTTTCATGGCTTCTAAATGAACTGGGTCGACTAAAGGCTTTCCCACAGTCTTCACATTTATAGGGTTTCTCTCCAGTGTGCATTCTCATGTGGCCTCGAAAGGTTGTGCGATAAATGAAGGCCTTCCCACACTCCTTACATTCATAGGGTTTCTCTCCAGTGTGAGTTCTTTCATGTACTTGAACATAACTGGAACAACTGAAGGCTTTACCACAAATTTTACATTCGTAGGGTTTCTCTCCAGTGTGAGTCCTTTCATGTATTCGAAATGAACTGGGACAGTTGAACGCTTTGCCACACTCCTTACATTTGTAAGGTCCATCTCCAGTGTGCGTCATCATGTGTCTTCGAAAGCTTGTGAGAGATACAAATGCTTTTCCACATTCCTCACATTTATAGGGCTTCTCTCCAGTGTGAGTTCTTCCATGTATTTGCAAACCTAGAGAAGAACTGAAGGTTTTCCCACACTGTTTACACTCATAGGGTTTCTCTGCACTGTGAGTCCTTTCATGTCTTCGAAAGGAAGTGGGACAACTGAGGGCTTTCCCACACAGCTTACATATATAGGGCTTCTCTCCAGTGTGAGTTCTCACATGGACTTGGAAAGTGGTGAGCCAATGGAAAGCTTTCCCACACTCCTTACATTGGTAGGGCTTCTCTCCAGTGTGAGTTCTTTCATGTGTTCGAAAGGAACTAGAACAACTGAAGGCTTTACCACACTGCTTACATTCGTAGGGTTTCTCTCCAGTGTGAGATCTTTCATGTATTCTGTATGAACTGGGACAATTAAATGCCTTCCCACATGCCTTACATTTGTAAGGTCCATCTCCAGTATGTGTTATCATGTGTCTTTGAAAGCTTCCAAGAGAAATAAAGGCCTTCCCGCATTCTTTGCAGTCATAGGGTTTCTCTCCAGTGTGGGTTCTTTCATGTTTTCGAAGAGAACTGGGGCAACTGAATGCTTTACTACACTTTTCACATTCATAGGGTTTCTCTCCAGTGTGAGTCCTTTCATGACTTCGATAGGAACTGGGACAACTGAGGGCTTTACCACACTGTTTACATTCGTAGGGCTTCTCTCCGGTGTGAGTCCTTTCATGTGTTTGGAAGGTTTGATGATATCTAAAGGCTTTTCCACATTGTTTACATTCATAGGGTTTCTCTCCAGTGTGAGTCCGTTCATGTTTGCGAACAGATTGGCGATATCTAAAGGATTTCCCACATTCCTTACATTTATAGGATTTCTCTACACTGTGGTTTCTTTCATGTTTTTGAAACGGTTGGAGGTAACTGAAGGCTTTCCCACATATCTTACATTTATAAGGCTTCTTTCCATACTCCTGATACTTGTATGGTTTGGGCGCAGTATGAGAGCGCACGTGCCTATTAAGGGATGAACGGCTCATGAAGACTTTTCCACATGCACTGCACTCCCATGATTTTCCTTTACTAGGAGTTTTCTTGTTCAGATTGAGATCTGAAAGACGGCTGAACTTTTCTCCACACAGACTACCTTCGTTACTTTCACAGAGTCTCTCTACTATATGACGTCTATAAAAAAAATCAGGAGTACATGATTAATGATTTATACTTATTTGTAAACATCAGAATTTTGTATTTACAATATATAGGGAAAGTGCAGGTTTTCTGCTGTCTGAATTGTCTGAAACTGACTATAATGCTCTGAAAGAAGCTTCTTCTGAATTAGTGTTTTGGATTTCTCCAGGTATATACCCAGAGGTAGAATTGCTGGGTCATAAGGCAATTCCATTTTTAATTTTTTAAAATATATTTTTATTTTTTAAATTTTATTTATTTATCTTTAGAGAGGAAGGGAAGGAGAGAGGGAGAGAAATATCAATGTATGGTTGCCTCTCATGCGTCCCCTGCTGGGAACTGGCCTGCAACCCAAGCATGTGCCCTGACTGGGAATCAAACCGCGATCGTCTGGTTTGCAGGCCCGTACTCAGTCCACTGAGCTACACCAGCCAGGGCCATTTTTTATTTATTGAGGAGTGTCTGCTTTCATGATATATGAAAATCCTCTTGTGGGATACTGATTTGTGTTGTGAATATAACTCACCTTAGATTTCTTTCCTGGTTTTTGTACTTATCTTCAATGTTATGGTCTTCCCATTTTCTCCCTAAAACGCAGACCCAGACAAAATAAAGTTACTGGTCTGTAATAAAGAAATATTACATTACAGGTCTTTGATAAGCTCTGACCATTCCTGGTTTATTTACCAAAGTGTTCTCTTTTCCTGTTCAAATCAGAGAAAATGTTGATAGACAAGAAACACTTGTTCTCTTAAGTGGCTAAATGAAGATATGTTGTCATTCTCACCTACTGAGGCCAGATTCCTCAAGGTTTCCCGCATCACATCTCTATAGAGCTTCTTCTGTGAAGGATCCAGCAGAGCCCACTCTTCCAGACTGAAGTTCACAGCCACATCCTCAAAGGTCACTGAGTCCTGAAACACCCCACATATGTACAAGGAAGACAGGTGAGATGGACAGCACTGGGCATCTGTAGTCAATTCATAAGAGGTTCATGTATGATTCTGTGTTTTCAAAATAATTATTCTTTTTTAAAAAGATTTTATTTATTTATCTTTAGAGGGGAAGGGAAGGAGAGAGGGAGAGAAATATCAATGTATGGTTGCCTCTTGTGTGTCCCCTGCTGGGAACTGGCTCGCAACCCAGGCATGTGCCCTGACTGGGAATCAAACTGTGGTTGTTTGGTTCCCAGGCCCACATGCAATCTGCTGAGCTACACCAGCCAGGGCTTCAAAATAATTACTTTTTGACTTGGTCATAATATTCAATATTCATAACCACTCCCTCATAAATCAGCATCATGAATCTTTCAGGCACATAATTTCCTTAAACACTGGTGCTTGAAAAAGGTCATTAACCCATTGACATTTCCATGCAGGGGATAGAGAAATGTTCCCCCACAATAACTCTGATGGTAGAATTTACCCACTTGGTTAAAGAACAGAATAGGAAGACCCCAGTTCTTGGTGGGTACACAGAGGCCAGTATTTAGGGCCCATCTAGTTACAGTGGAATACATGGAAAGAACCACACCTATCAGACCTTATTTGAGAAGCCTCTAGAGCAGCGGTCCCCAACCTTTTTGGCACCAGGGACAGGTTTGCTCACTTACCCGCCACTCATCTGTTCCTAACAGGCTGGTGGACTGCTACCAGTCTGCGGCCATGGAGTTGGGGACCCCTGCTCTAGAGAACTCCCAACATTACAGGAGAGAGAGAAAAGGAAGGACGCCAGATATAGCCTCTGATACTTACAGATACATAAATAGTAAACAGGCTAAGCCCCAGCTAGATAAACTTCAGAGCTGATACTAAAGGTCTATTTACCCAGCTTCCTTCTCAGTGCATCATATCTGGCTTCCAACAACAACAAAATCACACAGCACACTAAAAAACTTCATCTTAAAAGAAGCCAGAGGGAAAACCACACTTTAGCTATAAAGAATAACAAGAATTAAATAAGATAGTTTTTTTGGTTCCAAATAATACAAGCAAGAAGAGAGTGGACTGAAATAGTTAAGAGTGTTGATAGAAAAAAAACAACTTAATTAAAATTCCGTGTCAACTGAAATGATCCTTTAAAAGTTAAGAAGAAATTTCTGAGAAAAACAAATAGAATTTGTCATGAGTACACCCACTTTGCTTTGCAAGAAATGTTAAAAGTAACTCTTCACAAGCAAGGAAAATGAAGAAAGGGAGAGCATTTAAGAAGGAATACATGAAGGGAAAATAACATCACTTTAAACACTCTTAATTAATTTGAAAGGTAACACTTTGTTCAAAATAATACTAGCAAAAAAGTATTTAGCAATTATAGCTTATGGATGAGTGAAATGAACAATAGTGATGTTGTAAGGTGCAGAGAGAAGAATTGGGAATACTCTGTTAATGAGAAATTTGTACAACCAGTGAAGTGGTTCAGTGTTACCTGAAACAGAACTTGGCTTAACCATAACTATATATGGCAAATCTAAGGGCAACCAATACAAGTTTTTAAAAAAGTATAACTGATACGCTAAGAGAGAAGACAAAATAAAATCAGGTAAAATTCTCGAAGCCAGGGAAGGCAGAAAAAAAGGCAAAAGACAAACGAGAAACTAGTAACAAGGGCAACAAATAGAAAACACCAATGATTATGGTAGATACTAATTCAACTATATCAACAATCATTTAGAAAGTCCATGTTCTAAATATAACAACGGAAAGATACTGTCACAATGAATAAAACAGTAACAACTCCCAATTATATGTTGTCCATAATAAGCAACATTAGCAATAAAGTCAGGTAGACTGAAATTAAGAGATGGAAAAAGATGTATCATGTTAACATACCATATGATCTCACTTACATATAAAATCTAATAAACAAAATAAATTGACAAACTAGAACCAGAGGCATGGATACATGGAACAAACTGGCAGCTGTCAGAGGGGAGAGGGGGCTGGGGAGACTGGATGAAAGAAGGTGAAGTGTTTAGTCAAAGTGTTTAGTCAAAGAACATGTATGTATAACCCATGGATACAGACAAACAATATGGTGGTGGCCAGAGGGAAGGGGGGGCTGGGAGCAAAGTAGGAGGGAAATGGGGACATCTGTCAATACTGTCAACAATAAAAATAAAGGGGAAAAAAGAGCTGGCATATCTCCATTTTCAGACAACGCACAGGGATAAAGAGGGGCATTACACAAAGATACTGGGCCAAGTCTTTAAGGAAACACAGCATTCCTTAGTGCTCACGTGCATAACAACACAGTGGCACCAGGGGACAATGGGTGGAACTGCAAGGAGAAACAGATGAATTCACTATTATACTGGAGATTTCAGTACCGCTCTAGTAGTAATTATGAATACTGGTAGGAAGAAAATCAGAAAAGCCACAGCTGAACTGGTCAGTGCCATCAGACAAAAAGATTGGGAAACCCTCAGATATGTGGGAGATTAAACAACACACTTAAATAACTCAGGGATCAAAGAAGAAGTCTCAAAAGCAATGAAAAACTATTTTGAACTAACTAAACAAAAATGAACATACATTTACCAAAATTTGTGGGATGCAGCAAAAACACTGCCTGGAGGGAAGATTATAGCACTGAAGGCATACACTTGCAAAAAGAGATCTGTACTCAATGATCTAAATCTAAGCTTGTCTTATGAAACTAGAAAAAAGCAAATGAGACCTAAAGTAAGCACAAAAATAGACATAAAAACCAAAGAAACCAAAGAAATTTCAGGAAATTATGAAAAAATGATATAATCAAAAGCTGGTTCTTTGAAAAGTTTAATAAAACACCTACACAAGATTGCAAAACACCTACACAAACTGAGAAAAAGAAAAACAAATTAATATCAAGAATGAGGAAGGGGGGAATGTAAAAGCATTTGACAAAATCCCAAATCCATTTCTGGTAGCAAACTAAAAGTAGAGAGGCACTGCCTCTTGAAGAACACCCTGTACGAGAAACTTGCAGTTAACATACTTAATGGTGAGAAAGTAGATGTTTTCTTGGTTAGATCAAGAATAAGGAAATGATGTGTCCCCTCTCACCACTCCTAGTCAACACTGTACTGGAAATCTAAGCTAATACAGTAAGACTAGAAAAGGATGTAAAAAGCATACAGAATGGGAAGCAAGAAATTAAACTGTCTTTGTTGCATATGGATTACCTATGGAGAAAATCTCAAAGGAAAGCAACAAAGAAAGCCTGCTGAAAAATAAATAGTTAATATAAAACAGTCAATTCTTTCCTGTAGACCCAAACAAATATAATTAACTGAGTTTTGACAATTCAATGGAGAAAACACAGCCTTTTCAACAAATAGTGCCAAGAAAACCAGACATCCACGTGCAAAAATCAGTTGATCAATTTAGACACAAACCTTATACTTTTCACAAAAACTAACTCAAAACAGATTATTGGTCATATATAAAGTGCAAAATTACAAACCTTCTACCAGACAACATAGGAGAAAATCTAGATGACCTAAAGTTTGATTATGAATTTTTATACACAATACCAAAAGCAAGATTGATTAAAAGAAAAAATAAGTTTGATGTCATTAAAATAAAACCTACTCTGTGAAAGACAGTATTAAGAGACTGAAAACACAAACCACAGACTGGGAAAAAAATCTTTGTAAAACACGTATCTGATAAAGGGACTATATGGTAACGGAAAAAAAGAAAGATTAATTAAAAAAATAAAACACACAAAGAACTCTTAAAATTCAACAATAAGACAAGCAACACAATTAAAAATGGACAAAACATCAGAACATATACTTCACCAAAGATGATACATAAATAGTAAATAAACATGGGAAAAATTCTCAACATTGTATGTCTTTAGGAATTGTAAATAGAGGAATGAGATATTATGAGACAATTATTACAATAGCTAAAATTCAAATCACTGAGCGCTAACACCAAATGATGGCAAAGACATGGAGCAACAAGAACCCTCATCCACTGCCGGTGGGAATGGAAACCAGTATGCCTACTACTGAAAACAGGCAGTTTCTTAATAAACTAAACGTATTCTTAGCATACAACCAAGCAGTCACAGTCCTTTTAATTTCCTCAAATAAACTGAAAAAATACTTTCATAAAAATTCTGCACATGAATGTTTATAACAGCTTTATTCATGATGACCAAGACTTATAGGTAATGAAGGTATCCTTCATTAGGAGAATGGAAAAATAATCAGTAGAGTACTTATATAATGAAATATTATTCTGTGGTTAGAGGAAATGAGGTGTCAAGTGAAAAAGACATGGAGAAACCTTAAAAATCATATTGCTAAGTGAAAGTAGCCATTATGACGTGGCTACACATTTATGATTCCAAGCATATTTCTGGAAAGGACAATACTATGAGACAGTGAGAGACCTTTGGTTGCCAGGGATTTAGAAGTGGAAAGGATGGATGAATGAATGAATGAATGAATGGGGTGGAGCACAGGGCAGTGAAAGTTTTCTACATGTTGTAGAAAAGATGGACACGTGTCATTTTACATTAGCCAAGGCCCAGAGACTGTGTAACACTCAACACTAATGTAATGGGCCAGCTGCACCTGGCCTGCAGCACCACATTAGAAGTCACGTCGTAAGAAACAGTAACGGAATCACAGTTTTCCTTGAAGACAGTAGCACTAAGAGCATTTGATCATCCTTTGTTGTTGTACTATTCTCTCTCCCAAGGATTGTATTACTTAAGCCTCCTTGCACAACCACATCAAAATTACAACTAAACTACAAAGCCATTATTCAGAACAACCAGAAATCAAGGTGAATAGAAGTCTTACAACTATAAAATTAAAGAAACCACATCGAGACAAAGCCAGCAGGCAGGTGTCCTCTCTGAGACTCCATCAACTGGGTTCACACTGTTTGCCCCACCTTAGTGATTCCTTCAGGCTCTGCCCCACCCAATTCTGGGTCCACCCAAGCTGTTTCCAGTGGCTTTTCCATATGAATGGATCATGCTTCAGATTTACTTAAACTCTCTCAAAGAAGCAGCATCTGGTCTCAGCAAGTACTGTATGTCTCCCTAAGTAGCCCCAGGCTTGGCACTAGCTGCAGCTGGCCTTCATTTATAGCTTGACCTTGCTGGGGCACCTACGAACCCAGCACAAGTAGCAACCATCTGTAGATTGCTTTGTAGCTTATGCTGAGTGGCTCCAGAGAGAACACAGGCAGTAGCTGACCTTAGCTTGCACCTCCTGGGAGGTCCCAGAGCCTGTGTTCCTAGTGGACGGCTATAGACCATGTCAGAGTACCACCACCCAACCACCTCCCCTAGTGACACACTCAAGGGCACCAGAGCCCTGCTGAAGTAAGTCCTGCTTGGTGGAGTCGGCCCCTGCACAGCTGATTCTCCATGATGGTCAGAGGTTGGTGGTCGGTCAGTGGTCACAGCCAGTCAGCTGATCAGCCTTGCAGCTGATTAGCCTGGGAAAATCCCTCCCACTGACCTGCCAACAGCAATCATGGCTCAACTACACAAGGAGGCTGTACATAGCTCACACAGTGGGCGCATCTTGGGTACCCAGTTTAGGTGACAGGGGAGGCTGTGCCATTGGACCCTATAGGACACCTACTACATTAGGCCACTCTACTAAGCCAGGGAGCCATAGCAGAGCTCTACTTAATACATAGAAACAAACACAGGGAGGCTGTCAAAATGAGAAGACGAGTAAACATGGCCCAAATGAAATAAATGAACAAATCTCTAGAAAAAAAAAACTAAACAAAATGGAGACAAGCAATCTACTAGATGTAGAGTTTAAAATATGGGTTATAAGGATGCTCAATGGATTTAGGGGAAGAGCAGATAAACTCAGAACTTTAACAGCATAAAAAAAGAACATGGAAATCATAAAAAAAGAAAACCAGTCAGAAATGAAGGATACACCAATTGTGATCAAGGATACACCAACTGAGATGAAGAATAATTTACAGGAAATCAACAGTAAGTGGATAAAGCTGAGAATCAAATCACTAATTTGGAATATAAGGAAGCAAAAAACACCCAATCAAAACAGCAAGAAGAAAAAAGAATCCAGAAAAAGGATAGTATGAGGAGCATCTGGGATGATTTCAACTACACTAACACATTCCCATCACGGGGATGCCGGAAGAAGAGAGAGAGCAAGAAACTGAAAACCTACTTGAAAAAATAATGACAAAAAACTTCCCTAACTTGGTGAAGGAACTAGACATACAGGTCCGGGAAGCTCAGAGTTGCAAACAAGATGAACCCAAAAAGGCCCACACCAAGACACATCATGATTAAAGTGCCAAAGGTTAAAGACAAAATCTTAAAATCAGTAAGAGAAAAGCAGTTAATTACCTATAGGGGAGTTTCCATAAGACTATCAGCTGATTTCTCAAAAGAAACTTTTAAAGAAAGATTTTATTTATTTATTTTTAGAGAGGGGAAGGGAGGGAGAAAGAGGAGAGAGACATTAATGTGTGGTTGCCTCTTGCAACCCAGGCATGTGTCCTGACTGGGAATGGAACCAGTGACCCTTTGGTTCACAGGCCAGTGCTCAATCCATTGAGCCACACCAGCCAGGGCTGATTTCTCAAAAGAAACTTTGAATATTTCTTGGTAATTCCTTCTAGCCTGCAAAGTCATAAAAAGCTGGGACATACAGTCAGAGTTGCTCTACCCAGCAAAACTATTATTTAGAATCAAAGGGCAGATATAGAGCTTCCCAGAAGGGAAAAAGCTAAAAGAGTTCATCACCATGAAATCAGTATTATATGAAATGTTAAAGGGTCTTCTTTAAGAATATTGAAAATTTGAACAATAAAATGGCAATAAATATATATGTATCAATATTTGAATCTAAAAAAAATTAAACAAGCAAGCAGAACAGAAACAGAATCATAGATAGAACATTTTCATGGCTGCCAGATGGGAAAGGGGTTGGGGAGATGGGTGAAAAAGGTGAAGGGATTAAGAAGTACAAATTGGTAGTTACAGAATAGTTATGGGGGTGTAAAGTATAGCAGCATAAAGAATATAGCAGCCAAAGAACATATATGCATGACCCATGGGCATGGACAATGGTATGGGGACTGCCTAAGGGAGTGGGGGCGGGTCTGGGTGGACAGGGGCAAAGGGGAAAATTGGGAGGACTATTATAGCATAAACAATAAAATATAAAGTAAAAAAACCAATAAACTTTCATAAGGAATGAAAAAACCAAAATATCTTCCTACCTTAAAAATAAAAACACTAATGTAAACTGTGGACTTTAATGCATTAATAGCAAATATACCACAGTAATACAAGACATAAAAAATAGGACGAACTATGTGGAGACAGAGGGGTTATGTGGGAACTCTCTGTACATTCTGATCAAGTTTTCTGTAAACCTAAAATTGCTGTAAAGAAATGCCAACTCTATCAAGAAAACTAAAAAAGATAAGACATACATTACTAGTGATTGCTGAGGACTGGTGGCCGAAAGAAGCCATCTTTCATTCAATTGATTTGAAGTTATTTCAGTTAAGTCATTCAGGTGTTTTATGAGGCCTGCACCGAGACCTGAGAGGAGGAACTTCCACTGAATGCCTTTCCCAGAGCCCAGCTCTGCATATTCTTTTTTTTTTTAATTTTTTTTAAAGATTTTTATTTATTTATCTTTAGAGGGGAAGGGAAGGAGAGAGGAAGAGAAACATCAATGTATGGTTGCCTTTCGTGCATCCCCTGCTGGGAGCTGGCCTGCAGGGAACCGGCCTGCAACCCAGGTATGTGCCCTGACTGGGAATCGAACCGTGACTGTCTGGTTCGCAGGCCCGTGCTCAATCCATGAGCTACACCAGCCAGGGCTCAGCTCTGCATATTCTGAAAAGTGAAATGAGTCCCTTCACTACTATCTGTGGTGTTTAGAACTCCCACATGCAGGAGTGTCCTGGCAAAGCCACACACTGTGGTCTAAGTATATGTAGAAACAGAGGTTACCTTGATTTACACTGTGGGTAACTGTGAGGCAAGGCAGTCCCAGAATTCTTTTGCCACAAAAGGGCAACTTAATCATCCAAGAGTCTGTAAACATGGCCGGTGAAGCCAATTCTGGTCAGTGCTAAGATGATTGCCTGCTGTTTGGTCAGTCGTATGGACCCTTGAGTCCCATCCTTTAAAAGGATATTCCAGTTAAAGGATATGAGTAGTAACTGCCTGAGCTTCATCATGTACAGATGAGGCGATGTTGTCCCTGAAGGCTATGAATTCATTTCCTTTAACTCGGGGAATCCTAAAGTGCTCCCCAGGAAACCTAGAAGTCTGAGAAAATGGTGACCTCCTTCAGCACCTGGCAAGGGACTGAGGAGAGGGAGGCCACCCCCTCCTGGTAGAATATGCCCAAGGTGCCAGGTTTAGCTATATCTTGTCTCAAGGGGTCTTGATAACAGAGTTCTTAGTTATAAGAACAGAGTTCAGAGTTCTTAGCTGACCTTGATAACACTGTTCACAGGTCCCAGGGCATAAAGGGTAGCTTCCTAAGGGGTCACAGGTTCAGGACCATTTTTAGGACAGCTTTACAAGCAGTGACAACTGCGCTCTAATGGCATACAGTTTGGAGCCTCAGGCAGTTTCTTGCATCAGAAGCCTATGGACAACTCAGGGCCATCGTGGGTAACTCTGGGAGGCACAGCAGGAGGTCACCGAAGGCTCTGCTGTGGAACAAGTGTCTGTGGGCACTATGGGAGTGCCCATCGCATGGCAATCTGACTGACTCCAGAGCCTTTTGGTTTTGCTGCAGGGGTACCTACCGTTCAGGGTGGGTGTTTGTAAGAAACAGTATTAATGGACTCAAGTGCAGCATGTAAATGGACTGTGTTTCCTCCAGAGCACCCAAAGAATCTAGACAATGTAGCGGGTGCTAAGAGGGGCAACAGCTGTTTCTTTACTGCTTAAGGATGAAGCAGGACCCAGATTACTGAATACGTTTTAGGAATTTAAACACGGGGCCAGGGCCTCACCCGATATACACAGCAATGGCCTGTCCTTTTTATGAGTGACTTTTGTCAATATTTTTATGTCCTGAGGACCCTCAGAGGACGATGTCACTAATGCAATGTCGTTGTACCTGTGCCCCGGAGCAGGATGGATGCGGTCCAGACCCTGCCTGCAGAGACCGTGTATGCTGGCAATGGTGCTGAGGTCCCGAAGGTAACCAGGTAAAGGTGGATCAAGTCCCTTCAGAGGTGAAGGCCAATGATACTGATGTCACAGGTACGAGCAAAACAGTCAAATCTGTGACAGCAGGATATTGACCAGTTGCTGAGTGGATAGAGGCAGTAACTTCCATAATGCTGGGGACTGAGAATAGGGAGAGGCTTACTTGGTTTGACCACAGCCTCAAGGTTGCAGTAATCCACTGTGAGGTGTCATTCTTTCTTGACGAACAGGCCAACTAAAAATTCACCATCACCAATTATAGTTACCCAGTTATTATAATCAATGCAATTAATGACTGCTTTTTCACAACACAGGATCTTTAAGTTTGTTAAGTTCACTTAGAAATTTATTCTGTCAAGTTGAATTCAGACCATCTTAAAAAAAAAGCCAAACCAGCTATTCAAAGGTGAAGCAGAGGGCATAATCACTTCTTCACTAAATAGGTGTACAGTGGTTTTCAATCCTTTAACGCCCTGTTTAATTTACATTAGGCCACATGAATTTAACTGGGGTTAAGGACTATGGGGTCCCATTTTGTTAATATATTTTGAAAGCGCCAAAGGCTAAATTACAATTTAACTTACGAGTGTAACTCATTGATTTAAACCTTCCTTGCTGACTGTGGCATACTTTAAGAAAATGGGCACTATAACCATGGAAAATTAGGTAAGACCATAATTATGGTGAAACATCCCTATCTGCACTCTATATTATATTTGGTATCTCCCCTAACATTATCAGGGGTATCCTGCTTACACCAAGTGGGATCCCTTTGGAATTACGAGTGTGGAAAAGAAGGAGTGTGGATCCTCCTGCCACCTACTGGCCGCCTTTCCTGCCTCTCCTGCTTTTCTTTAAATAACTGCTCTTGCACGAGCAACCACCTGATGGTTCCACCTCTTGCACAGGGTATGCACCCCCCCCCCACCTGTACCCTCTACATTGGGGCCAACCCAGCCTCTGGAGTCCTAGTCCAAAGGCAGGGGCCTTTGTGATTTGAGTTTTTTGCCATCTCTAGAGGAAAGAACATGTAGACTTTTTCATCAGTTCATCCAGGTGGGAGGGAGCCCAAGGGGTAGAGGGAGCGGGGAGGCTTCAGCCATGAACAGTTAGATATCAAAAAGTGTGGAGTCCAATTGCTTGTTATAAAGAAATACTAATAGGATGCTCAAGAAATTCAACACTGGTTACTGGGGTTAGCTAAAGCAAGAGCCCTGGAGGGAACCGGGATGTTCTGGTGGTGAGTGGAGTTTAAACCTTATCTTATAGACTTTTGCTAGATGTTGCATGCATTATTAAAAAATAATAATTCTGCCCTGGTTGGTGTAGCTCAGTGGATTGAGCACAGGCCTGTGAACCAGAGGATTGCGGTTAGATTCCCAGTCAGGGCATATATCTGGGTTGCAGACCGGTTCCCTGCAGGCCAGTTCCCAGCAGGGGATGCACGAAAGGCAACCATACATTGATATTTCTCTCCCTCTCTCCTCCTCTAAAGATAATAAATAAAATATTAAAAAATAATTCTTAGTAATTCTTAATTCTACATAAACCATATTTTTCTATTTAATAGTCTTTAAAGAAAGATTTCACTTACTTATTTTCAGAGAGAGGGGAAGTGAGCAAGAAAGAGGGAGAAAAACACCAAAGTGTGGAAAGCCTATTATAGCTTTATTTGGGTCTAATCCACTGGATGCATCAGGATTTTCAAAGGTTTATATAAGTTTTGAGTATTAAAATAGGAATTAATTTCCCTTATGCCTAAGCAATATTATAGCATTTACATTTCCAAAGCTCTCTAGGGACATGAACATAACAAGCACTGATCTAAAATGTAAAATCTACTTGAGAGCTCAAATACACCCATCTTGTATCTTGATCTCTTGCCTACAAGGAGCAAATACTCTATCTGGTTCCAGAATTTCTTGCCTTATTCCCATGTATCTTTCAATCAACTTATATTTCCAAAGCCCAAGAACTAAAAACCTTACACACTCACCCAGAAAATATCATAAATTGCCAATGAAAACTAGAATTGGGAGCTTCAGTATGCAATATTATGAATATCCAAAGAAAGAAATACAAATCTTTGCATCAGGTGAGATAGGCTGCCTGCCTCCTCACAGTTCAGAAGAAAACCCACGTTCTCAAGCTTGTAGTCCATACACCCCCTTTTGGGATATAACTCTTAAAAGCTGGGCCACTCCCTGCTGACGGAGCACCCACAGAAATGATTTCTGGGAGCTCCACATGCCCATCTCCTGAGGTGATGGAAAGGCTTCCTCTCTGAGGCTTTAATTCTCCTAATTGAGGAAACTTAGCCAGATTCAATTTAAGGTTCTCACCCCCCCACCACCCAAAACTCCCAAATTTATAAACCCTCTCTGTCTAGAAGACAGAACTGACATTCACAGACTCTCAATGTACATAGATTCCTCTGATCACACCTACACTGCTCAAGCCTATAAATCAGAAACAGGCCCTAGGAAATCACCCTTTGCTCCCACTTCCCAGGGCTGTAGCTTCTCTCAGTGTGCAGGCTCCTTCCGGGATCTGAGCAGGGAGGACACCAGCAAGGGGAGGCTCCTCAGAGAGAACCATTGGGCCTTCCAGGACTTCCCTGTGCAGGCTCAAGGAGGCCTTAGCTTGGAGACACTGATTAGCTTGGAGACACTGACCTGAGAGGCTTCTGCTTTGACACAGTTGCTCTGGACCACGACTGGTTTTTTCCTCTTTTTAATCCTCACCGGAGGATGTTTATTGATTTGAGAGAGAGAGGAAGATGGGGTGGGGGGACAAAGTCGATATGAGAAACAATTAATTGCCTCCTGTATGTGCCTGGACTGGAGATCAAACCCGAAACCTTAAGTTGTACAGGACGACGCCCGAGGCGAGCCACTCCCAGTGTTTGAGCAATCCAGTAAAACCACTCAAATCCAGTGTTTACGTGTAAAGGATGGGGGAAAAGGGTAAGGAATTTTTGTGGTTTAACAAGAAATATGCAAATATTGATTCCTTTCAGAAAATAAATGTGAATTATTCATTTCCATGGCAAGTAACTGTTTGGAGAATGATTACATCGAACACATTTCTAGGTCTTGTAAGTCTAAGCCCTGATGTTGCCTTTGAAATCAACCAAAAGAACCGATCTCAGAATGTTTCTACACTCACTCATGGAAGAAAAACAGAAACAAAAATGTTACCAAATAGATGTGATGATGGAATTTTTAATTTTTTCTGAAATTCACCTCTTTCTTGGAAATATTTTATAATTTTTCTTTTTCTTAAATACATTTATACTTATTGAACAATGGAGGATTAAAGTACAAAAACCACAGACTCAGAGTGAGGCAGCGCTTGGCCTGGAAGTGGGATGAACGGGCAGATCACCCAGGAAAGTTTCCAAACATGAGCACCCATAGCATGTGTGCACCCAGGGGTGAGGTACAAGGTTTTTACACAACAGAGTTCTAGGCAGTTATTCGTGGCTTTCCTCTTACATAAAACATCTACAGGGGAAAAAAGTAAATCTGTAAAAAGAGAACCATCCATGGCTGTGTGGAGAAATGATAAATAAAATACTGTGTAGTGTGAAATGTACCACCGAAGACAAATAGTTAATCATGCTGTGAACAAGAGAGGGGAAGATGGCGTTCAGGAATGCAGGAAAAGATATGGAAACAGGAATTTACTGCCAGTCCCAAGAACGCCTGGGTGTGTGTGACGGGGGGACCAGGTCGTGGATTTAAGACTCCGCTACCCATTTGCAAAACTCAGGAAAAAACGGGTCCCCTTGGGGAGAAAGGAGGGGCTGAGGACCCCACAGACCCCAGCTCTTCCCACTAGGAACCCTGGAAAGTCTGATGACCCTCTCCCGTGGTCACCAAACATTCTTGAGGTGGGGGCGGCGGGGAGGAAATGCAGCCGCGCCGTGACTGGAGAAAACACCTGGGGGTTCCCGCTGTCGGCCGAGCCCCCGTGCTGCGTGCCGCGTCCCCAGTGGACTCCTGTCCCAAAACTCTGGAGTGTCCCCCAGGAGGCCGGGTCCAGGCACGCTGTTCCACCAACACTTCCTCCCTGTCTTCTGACCCACGGCCCACACTCACCATTTCCTAACTTGTGCGGTTCCCGATCGTCCACCCTATGACTCCTGCGGCAAGTACCGGCCACAGTCTCAATGATGTGGCGTAGATCCTGAGGCCTTTAAAGGCAGGGAGAAAATGCATGCACAGATGCGGAGAGAAGCGCTCAACACGCAGTCCACACGTCATCAGAGCGACGCGCTTATGTACGTTATCTGCGACTCCCCTGATTGGACAGCCCCCAAGGTCCCGCCCTCTCCTGCCTACGCGACTACAGGCCAGAGGTCGCGCCTTTGAGGGACCTTGTCTTAGCAGTGGGTTGGAGTCTATGCTTTTATCATGAAACTGTCAGGCCATTCACGGAATTGTGACTCTTCTTCACAAAGAGACACTTAAAAGTAACCTGTCCATATGTAATGATGACTCTGGCTCCATTTTTGATCGTGGTCCATTTCCAGTGGGGAGACAACCGCCCTTCTGTCTCCCACCCCCACTCATCTGGGTACTTTAGAGAATCCTGCGGTCTCAGGGGCACTTAGTTCTGGTGGGAGGTTTGAAACCCATAGTCTTGGACCAGGCCCCCAGCCTCAGATGCCAGCATGTGTGAAACACAGGGGGCAAAGTATTCACCGGAAAACTTCTTCAAGGAATTCCATTAATACCCACTTGGTGAAAGCTCAAAGGAGGCTAAACTGAAAGAACACTTCTTGGTGAAAATAATAGATGGCAAAGGTATGATGTACAGTGGCACTTCTCTAGCAATAACAAAGACAATATTTGGAAACCCCTCAAATACTAGAAGATTAAAAACACACTTCTAAATAACATGAGTCAATAAGAGTGACAGCAACAAGATAGTAGAATAGGAGTTTTTATCAACATCTCCCCCACAGTGCACTAATTCTGACAACCAGCTAAGGATGAGTGCACCTTTGTGGAAGTCTGGGGGTCCAGTGGAGAAGTTCCTGCACACCACTGGAACATAAAATCTGAGAATACACACTATGATAGGGGTAAGAAGAACAGTTTCACTTTACATGCAACACCCTTCCAAAAACTCACTGCTGAGACCCGCCTTGGCCAGATATTCTTCCCAGGGAGAAAGTGACAGTGTAGTGACTGATCTCATGGCTTCCTCAGGGGTGTGGGACAGTGCCCAAGGGGCTCACCAACTTCCCATCTCACTAAAAATGCTGAGGGGCTGAAAATCTGGGGTCAGGAAAGTTACAAGGACACACAACAATCAGGGTTCAAAACTTAACAAATGGCTGCACCCCAACTAATAGTCGGCTACCCCACCAGGAGGTTTGCATTTCAGCCACTGGATGTGATGCTTGTTGAAACCCCCAACTGTCCTATGGGCATGCCCAATGCACTGCACCTCACTCCCACCCTCCCACCTCCATATGCCTTCTCCAGACAGCAAGTGCAAACATCCAGTGTCTTATTAGCACACACATTCAACTGGCTCAGCTCATGGAACTGGGAGAAGACACATGAACTTGAGCATTGCAGGGGACTACCCTTGGGAGAACTAAATGGAGGCTCTCAGCACCAGGAATGGCTTTAAAGGATCCAGGGAAGGCATAAAATCTTAAGAATTCCCCCTAAGGAGGAAACAAGCTGGGTGAGGTGAGTGCATCCATAGAAAAGTTCTGACAGAGCCTCAGAATCCCTCTGGGGCTGACTGGTGAAGCTGTTTCCCCAAACCAGGCAAGACTATGGGGCGTGACTGCTTCTTCAAATGTGAACACAGCAATGCAAGGATTCAAGGAACACCTTCCCCACACAGACACACAAAAACTGACATCAGTAAAGGAATATAATGATTTTCTAGTAACCCATTCCATAAAAATGGAGAGCTACAAATCACCTGACAAAAATTACAATTACTTGTTCAAAGGAAGTTCAGCGGCCTTCATAAGAACACAGATACTCAACATAATGAAATCAAGAAAATAAACTCAACAGGTAGACAGAAATCATAGAGAACCAAACAAATTCTGGAGCTGAAGAATATAATAAAAAATGTAAGAGAATTTTAAGACTGGATGAATCAGAAGAATCTGTGTACTTGAAGACTGGTCTTTTGAAATTACTCAAGAGGAGAAAAAAAGAAAAAAGAAATGAAGAAATCTTTGAGAATACCAGCAAAAGAAATACTTTCCAGAAAGTATTTAGTCATGTAATATAAAAAAATAGACATTTACTGAAGGAAATATAGAAACATGTACACAGGACAATGATGCTTAAGTCCCCTTCAAAGTACCATATTTTTAGGACTATAAGATGCACTGGACTGTAAGACACACCTAGGTTTTAGAGGAATAAAATAGGAAAAAAATTAAAGCAAAAATGTGGTAAAATATTTAATAACCTGTGACCCTGCTCCACCACCGCTGCCCCCCCAACCACAGCAAGCCAGTTAAGTTACATTTGGACTATAAGACACACCCCTCTTTTCCTCCCAAATTTCGGGGGTGGGGAAGTGGGTCTTGTAGTCCAAAAAATATGGTAGGTACCGTCGGACCTCACACAGTTCTCCCAGTGTCTCTTCTACTCTTAAAAACACTCTGCAAAATCCTTTGTTGAAACTGCCATCAGCTGTCCTGTTATATTTTCCTGAATACCATCAATGATCTGAAATCTCTTCCCTTTCAAAGGTGATTTTAGTTTTGGGAAAAGCCAGAAGTTACAGGGCATCAAATCTGGGCTGTAGGGAGGCTGAGTCACCTGAGTGATTTGATGTGTTGCCAAAAAACTGCAAAAGATGTGATACATGAGTGGGTGCCTTGCTGTGATGAAGCTGCCAATCACCACTGCCCACAGCTTTGGTTGTTTTCATTGTGTTGCATCTCTCAACCGACAAAGAACACTGAAGTAGTACTCCTTATTGTTTGGCTTGGAGGGGCATATTCGTGATGGACAACACCTTCCCAATCAAAAAACACAGTTGACATGGTCTTGCTTTAATCTTTGCTACTTTGCCGCACCTTCCTCAGGTATGAAGAACAAGGTGATTTCCACTGGGACAACTGGGCCGTCGTTTCTAGATCTTAGCTGTAGACCCATGGATTCACCTCTGGTTATCACTGGTAGCGATTTGAATCAAGTCATTAGCAACTGCAGCACAATGTTTCTTTGTTCTTTTAGCAGAAGCCACAGAATGAAATTTGCCAAAACATGTTTCATGCCAAGGTTCTGCGTCAAAATCTTGGACAATGTGGTTTTTTGAATCCCCAGGTCAGCTTCTAGTTCTTGCACTGTCAATCGCTGATCTTTGTTGGCTGCAGACTGTACATGTTCAAACTGTACATGTTCAACATTCTCAGGTGTCCTGCTTGTTGCAGGCCTTCCAGAACCTGAATCATTTTTAACAGATTCTTGACTATCTTTGATGCATTTGTGCCACACTTTTATGAGCTGCACTCATTGTATTGTCCCAGAAATCCTTCTGAATCATTCAAAGTTTCCACAGAAGAATGTGCAAGCTTATTGCAAAACTTATATGGATTTTTTGCTCTACTCCCTCAATCATTTTGAATGTGACAGCTACACAACCATGTCTCACTCAACCATGTCTACCACTCCCACAGACTAGTACAATGAAGTGTTATTGTTCACACATGTGCATTCCGGTCCACTCTTCTTGGCTGCTAGGTTACAGCTATGTTGTTCAAACCATTCTCATTATTAACAATGGCTGGACTTTTTCTAGATATTATGGAACTTCTAGAGGAGAAGGATAGAAATCTTCTGTAATGAAATAATGGCTAGAAACTTCCCAAATCTTGGAGAGATATGGACATCTAGCTTCATGAAGCTCAGAGATTCTGAAACAGGTTGTGTATCAGTGGGGAACTGTAACCCACCCCACCATTCTTTGTTTCTGTAAGTGCTGACTCCAATATGTAGCTTGTAGATAAAAAGCATGTTTGCATAAGAATCCTAGGAACTAACTTCAAAAGATTCAGACTTGACCTTCAGGCATCCCAGCTCCAGGGGATTTGCTGACCTTCAACAGTGGCGCCAGGATGACTAAATCAGGATGACGCACACCAGACCATCACTTGCTTCATTGGAATGGACTGTGCTCATTTGTACATAGAGAACTTTTCAATCCTCTCCCTTGATCTCTTTGTTTCGTTCCCCTCTTCCTCCTTATAAAAAACCTCTGGCTGGCATGGCTAAATAAAACCTTAAAAAAGGAAAATAAAAAAGAAAACCTCTGCCTGCCCTGAGTTGTGGAGGTGGGGCTTTGAGACATGAGTCCCCCATCTTCCCAGGGAGATGGGCTCTGAGACACAACTTTCCCATCTTCCAGGTAGCTGGCACCTGAATAAACCATTTTCCTTTTACATCATACCTGTCTCTTGAGTATTAGCTTTCGGAATGGCAGGGGGAGCTGGACTTGCATTTGGTTAGAGCTGAACTCAAAAAAGATTTCACAAAAAACATTTTAATTAAAGTATCAAAAATCAAAGAGAATTTTGAGAGTAGCAGGAGGAAATGACTAGTCATTTACAAGAGATCTTCAATTAGACTATCAATAAATTTCTCAGCAGAAACCTTGAGGACAGGAGAGAGTGGCGTGATATATGCAGTACTTAAGTAATGAAATTAATAATGCTTTACTCAATAAAGCTGTCCTTCAGAAATAAAGGAAGAGGAAGGCTTTTGCAAACAAAAGCTGAGGAAGTTCATCATCACTACACATGCCTTATAAGAAATGCTACAGGGACTTTCAAACTGAAATGAAAGACTGCTAATTAGTGATGCAAACATAATGTGAAAGTGTAAAACTAACTGGTCAAAGAAACCAAATTAAGAGTTGGTTGTTTGAAAATATATAACGAATAGACAAACCTTCAGCTAGGCTAAAAAAATAGGGAGAGAAAAGATTCAAATTAATAAAATCAGAAATGAAAAGGAGAAACTATAACTGATACCACAAAAATAGAAAGGATCATAGGAAACAACTATGAAAAAGTATATGCCAACAAATGTGATAACCTAGTAGTACTGGATTAATTCTTTTTAAAAAATTAACATACTACCTACTACCTAGACTGATTCATGAAAATATAGTCTGAACAGTGGGTAAGGAAATTGAATCAGTTATTAAAAACCTTCCAACAAAAAGAAAAAAAGGACCAGATGGCTTTCCTGGTGAATT